ATATATATTTGAAGGGGGTGTTTTGGTTGTTTTTTTCCTTTGGTGAGTGTTTTACGGCACTGGCAACTACATAAGATCATATTAGCGCGCGGGACACATTAAACATTTTCAGCTGGTAGGAAAATTTTAGACTGCCAGGGGATCTTTAACGTCCACAACTTGCGAACTAGACCTCCGAAATTTTCGCCCTTGTCCGAGAAGACTAGGTGTAGATTTTTCCTACAAGAAGACAAGGGGTGTGGATGAAAGACAGCAGTAAGATGGAGAAAGGAGTGGCAGAAAGAGTCAGGAGACCAGAGGAGGGGGCAAAGGGGGTGAGGGGGTGTGGGCAGAAAGTGGAGACAAAAGCAGACGACAGAACAGTTCTAGAGAATAGGAAAGGAGGTAAAAGGAGACAGTTTTAGAGAAGAAATATTTTTCCTTCGCTATCCGGATTCGAACCTGGGACCTTTGAATGAGAGGCGAACACCATAACATCTAGGTCAGGAGACCTCCCTTATTAGTATCATTGATATATTTAAAGGTCTCAACTGCTTTAAGAAGTCGTGTTCAGGAAAGAAGTTTTTTTGGATAATATACGTTTCCAGTCAGATCATTGTTTTGACATGTCTTTGTGACAGAAAAACAACGATGCCCCCTACGGCTGGATCGGGCCGATCGCCTGAAACTGAAAACATACACGTCTGTTTTTGAGGCGATCGAGTCGGGCGATAGGCCCGATCGGCTGATCACGTTCGTAGTTGGCACCCCGTTTTACACCTCACCAGACATTCCTACACACGATGACGATAATTTTACGACGTTCTAGACAAGAAGCCTTAGGGAAACTGCTGAGAATATCGTGGAAGGAAAAGAAATCGAATGAGGTAGTGCTTGAAGTAGCCCACGTAGGACGCTCACTGTTAAAAACAATCAGGAAACGACAGTTTTTGGGACATCTGAATAAACAAAAGGTCTTGAACGTCTAGCTCTCACTGGCAAAATTGAAGACAAACGAGGCAAGGGTAGGCCTAGAGCAACTTACTTAGGGAACATAAACAAATAGGTAACAGGGAAAAATCAGGGAACCGTAGGTTTTTTTTTTTTTTAGAGCATTCGAGCAAAGAAATGAAAGGAGAACCATGGTCGCCGATGCGCTTTTCCCTTTCGTCAACCCGCAGCCACCTCCCGAATCGTCAGCCACCCCCAACCTTTGACACGGGTCAAACTTCCATCTATTTATAGGTAGTTACCGGAACATGTATAGGTGAAGTGATGTGCCGTGATAGTCGCGATATATTATTTATTGAGATTGTTTTTTACTTACAAACGAAAGGAGAGCACAGGGTGCTGTGTTCCCATAAATTCTCCAAAAGTTGCTAAAGGACCAAAATACCACGGGATGTCATATGGTGCGAAGCCCGCCATCTGAAAGTAAAATACAGTAAGACAACATTTTAAAAAACCCCGCAAAGTCGAAATTTCGTACATTCAGTAATATACTAATCTGCTACAATCTCTCGCCTTTCTTTATAACAAGTAGTAGTTTATCTAAAATGAAGCAGTGTAAAGGGGGGGGGGGGGTAAGAAAGCTTCTAAATCATTCTGTATGTGATAGTTTTGAAAGTCTGAAAGATTTGAATAAATCCGTATTGGACAGTTTTGCCCCAATCACTTATTTTTAATAGCTGAGACAACAAGTTGATTGAGTCATTAAAAAGAATAATATTGTGAGTTATTCCAAAATGAATAACAACAAGTATAACATCCGAGATGTCAAAAACACAGTCCCTGACAAGTGTAACCTACCCAAAATACTATATTTATACGTATTAATCACCCTACCAATGTTAATAGAAAGTTGTATGGAAGTACAGGAAAAAAAAATTGAAACCTACCGTTGTTCTTCATTAATAATTCAAGAGAATTTGATACGTTCTGGCGTGATGGACTATTTACATAATTAATGGAGTGTTTACATTTAATTCGTGTCATGACGCCGTAGTGGTGTCGGCGGCCTATAGTGGTTAGGCTCTCGGACTCGCAATCGTAAGGTCGTGGGTTCGAATCCCATCAGGGGCACGATGTTGTGTCCTTGGGAAAGGCACTTTACACGAATTTTCCTCACTTCACCCAGGTGGGAATGGGAACCCGGCTATAGACAGCGAAAGATCTTGTCAGTTTGTTAGTGTTTGGGCTCTTAATCAGCTGCTTGCACTGTATGCTTCCCGGGAAGCTGAGAATGTTTCGGAGTGTTCTATGGTCTGCTGGGGTAATAATATAGTGTAATGTGCATATAGCCTGCTGTTGAGCGGGGATATGCGCTATAATGCTATTTATTATTATTATTATTATTATTATTATTATTATTATTATTATTATTATTATTATTATTATCATTATTATTATTATTATTATCATTATTATTATTAGAATCGGGCGCTCATCAACTTTTGGTCAAGTGGAGCTATTGGTAACATCTTAAAGCTTGGTTATTTGTCTTGCCTTCGAAAGGAAAATTAACCCATTTATCTGGAATAAAAGTTGAGATATTTGCATTTGAAGGAGGTTGGGGTCGTCTCGTTTCAGAGTTATAGAATCAACGAGAAAAGCGGTCGCCAATGTTTGATCACTTCCAGAGCTTGAGAGTCGTTGGAAACTGAAAATACACATTTTTTATGCTTTTAATCAACATTTTTCAATAAACTCCACACAGAAACTATTTTTTTAAACGGACACGGAATGTACTGAGCTCCCTGCCCAAAAAAATAATAATAGGAAAAGATAAAAATTGCCCAACTGTCAGAAAGATGCAGACTCTTTCGATTTTATTATAAATTGTTATATTGACGAGCGCCTGATTTCACCACGATGCCTCATATGTAAGAACCTGTCCAAGGTGGACGAGGGCAAGTCTATTTTTTTTCCAAGAACGTTTTGTCTATTTAATGCCAATAATAATTTTGTTTTTCAAATACATTTTGTTTATTTAATGTCATTAATGATTCTTTCCTTTTTTCAAACACATTTCGTCTTTTTAACGTCGATAATGATTTTTTTCTAACACATTTAAAGTATTAATTCCCGACATCAACGAAAAAGAACAACAGCTTGGTGAGGAAAGAAAAGCCCCCCCCCCCCCCGTCACACACACACACACACACACACACACACACACACACACACACACACACACACACACACACACACACACGCACACACACACACACACACAAGCCTGCCGACCTATTGTAGTCTGCAACGTTAGAAAAATCCCACAATAGTGTGACCAACAATTTATGGCGCAACTTTTCCTCAGATTTCTCTTTAACGGGTGAATCAATGTCACCCATATTTCGCACTGCAGATTGTATTAATTAGTCTTAATTTAATCATATGTTGCTACAACGATTGAGGCTAGATTTTAAAAAAAAACTATTTTTCTTAAAGTTACATAAAACACTGTAAATCTCCGTTACGCGTAAAATGAGAGTGTTCACAGCACATACCGCATCTCACACACATCAATTTTACTAACACATATTATGCCGTATGTGGAAACAGGCGCTTGTCAGTTTTTGAGCATATCATGGAGTTATCTTAAAGGATAATCTTAAAGCAAATGCCCATACAATCTTATCTTTAATAAAAATCGAAATATTTGAGATTGAAAGACATGGGGATCGCCTGATGTTAGTGTTAAAAGAGCCAGAAAATGGTCGCCAAATTCTGGTGACTTTAAAAGCTTGAATACCCTTGAAAAATTTTAAAGCTTGAATACCCTTGAAAAATGCATATTTATATTACATTTTGGGCGCCATTGATCAAAGTTGGTTAAAAGTATAGTTCACGCAGAAATGTGTTTTTAAATGGTCACAAAAGGTATTGAGGCCGAAAACAACATCGATTAAAATTACGCAACAGGCTAAAAAGCTATCGACTTCTTCGATGTGATTATTTTAACGAGCGCCTGATTTCACCACGATGCTAGACATACTAAACGTGTGTGTCAACTAGTCACATGTTCTTTCATGTCGTTGTTGTCAGGCGGAGGTCTTGGTGAGAAGTCTGAGATCCTTCTCCTCAAATTCTTTCTCATCGTCTGACTATAATTGCATTACTCTCTACCAACGCACACGACGGATTCACAAGTCAAGGTCTACTCCAGCTCCAGGTCTTACAAAAGTTGAATTGTCTTTCAAACCATGACGTCACGGCTACCTCCATGTTTGCCTTACGGAGAGTGAACCCCCCGGATGTGTGTGATAAGTCAAGTAAGATCCCCAATGGGGCCTGAAGTAGACCTTTATCGAATCACTCACAAATTCGATGTACTCGAGAGGAGGGATGAGAATGACCCACAGCAGGTGAGGCAACACGAAACAATCACGGTCAAACTCCGCCGCTGAATTCGTTTTTCTTCCAGCCATGATGATTGTATGGAAAACGGTTGTATCCTCGAACGCGTGGAGTTTGAGTAGACTGGCCTGATATGTGTCATGTGCTCTAACGCCAGAATACATCAGTAATTAAATTATGCAATACATTTTTGTCTCCGTTATACACATCCCAGATTTTGCTTGGCTTTGCCTTTACTTTAAATTCGAACCAAATTTGAGGCCATGATTCCTCAAAATGCGAGAAGTTTATTGTAGAAAAAGCGAGTTTGTAAATCGTAACAGGATAATTAAGAATAAAGAACAACAATGAATTCGTAAATAAATATATCGAGCAAATATTAGATATATCTAGAAGATAAACCTGTGTGTGCAACAGTCAGAAAAACCGCGAAAAATATGTACTTGATCTTTTTCTGGACAGCGGAGCTACACAAGGATCAGTTACGGGAATTGATCGGTTTATAATGTTGTATCATAATTAATGTGTTATTCAGTGGCCATTCTGTTCATCCGTCAGTCATATGAGGTCGGGTTAAATAGCTCTACTAAAGCAGGGCTATGGTGGGAGGGTGGGTGTTGGGAATTGTATGTAGTATGTAGTATAGGGTTTTACGGCGCTCGCAACTGCTAAGGTCATATGAGCGCGTGTTGGGGATTGTTACGTTGAAGAACTCGATCCCGACAGTGACGTCGGTGGCCTAGTGGTAAGGCTCTCGGACTCGCAATCGCAAGGTCGTGGGTTCGAATCCCGTCTGGGGCCCGACGTTGTGTCCTTGGGAAATTCACTTTACACGAATTTTCCTCACTTCACCCAGGTGGGAATGGGTACCCGGTTATAAACAGCGAAAGATCTTGTCAGTTTGTTAGTGTTTGAGCGCTTAATCAGCTGCTTGCACTGTATGCTTCCCGGGAAGCTGAGAATGTTTCGGAGTGTTCTATGGTCTGCTGGGGTAATAACATAGTGTAAAGCGCATAGAGCCTGTTGTTGAGCGGGGTTGTGCATTATACAAATGCTATTTATTATTATTATTACCAGCTGGGAGTGAGAGTTGTTTGTGTCTTTCTGTGCAGGGCAGGCAGTGGCGGTGGGTAGTGAAGGCCTCATGGGCTTGAGCCCCTCTACTCATCCCCCAACCCCATCCCAAAGTAATTGAAAGCTTCTTAAATGACGAAATAAGCAGATGAAACAGTTATGATAACACGCAATGAACACAGAGTGGTCAATTTGGCGGCTTGCTCGTTTATCCAATGACTGTTGTTACCGCTTACAACTAGAGTGAACTACCAGCCATCAAATGTCTTTAAAGCTCAGCAAAGTATTAGCCCGTTCACACAGCGGTTCCTGAAACTCTTCTTGTGAAAAGGTAGAAGGTTTTTTTTTAAAGAACACTGTACCGCGGGCTTACGCTCTTCTTGCCCTGACAATGAGGTGCAAGTTTACGAGACACTTTCCCCCAGTGACACAGTTACCTATGCGCTCATTGGACCTTTGTTAGGTGCGTTTTACTTTTCCCGAAAACACAGCCTTATCCACTTCATAAACGGAATATGTTTGAGGTGCTGTTTGTGCACGTTTGTGTTAGTGCCGCTGAGATTTAACAGTGATCACGTCGAACCAGAGGAAATTAGAAGAAGTTTGGAGGGGAAACGGCTTCGTCCTAACCATCCAGAAGAATTTAGCATAAAACGAAGAGATGAGAGAAAAAGGTGACTCTTCTCGTTTGAATGGTTCTCAAAATCCGTGACTCACTGTAAGTATAGAAAACCCAGCACTGTTTTGTACATATTGCGAGGTATTATTTTGTGGTTAAGAAGTGGAACCGGCCAAAGCCCCACCCAAATTTTGGTCCACTTGAGGACAAGTTAGGCCACTGAGGACAGGCTAGGCCACTAAGGACAGGCTAGGCCACTGAGGGCAGGCTAGGCCGCCCAGGACAGGCTGGGTCACTGAGGACAGGCTAGGCCACTGAGGACAGGCTAGTGGCGGGTGTGGAGGATTGTGTGTGGGAGGGGGGCTAGTGTAATCGCTGAATGAAATAAAGAAACATCAAGATCAACTTACACATCATTCCCATCATCATCATCATCATCATCATCATCATCATCATCATCATCATCATCATCATCATCATCATCATCATCATCCACCGTTGTTGTAAACAAGAAGATAAGAAAAGGCATCAAAATAGATGGAGACTGGATTTTCATTATTTCTTACACTGTATGAATTCGACATTTCACCCTGTAGTGTGGTCAAATAATACCAACACCGTAAGACAATAAATTTTCTTGAGTTGTTTTTCTTGAAGAATGACAATTATACATGCGGACATATTTTGTACGCAACTTACAGTCAATATCCGCTCCAAACCAGGACACTGGACGCTTTAAAAAATAAGACCAAAAAACCCCCGACGAATGCTGCCTTCTGGCTATTTTGATCGAAAGGCAAACTCTGCAGCGTTCACAACCAAATATTTGATGCACGTACAGTATTGTACTATTATTTTAATGAGACAATAATACTATAATATAGCATTTAGCCAACTTACCATGACGTTCTGGCTTTGTGCATTGAACTAGTGCCAAATACGTCTCAAATTCATGGCATATTGATTTCCACCAAAATGACACAGAGATATGACAGGAAATTTACATAGTTACGTGAGTTCAGTATCACTTTCATTTTTGAAACATCGTATCTTAATTAACATTGGAACTTTTCGAGAATAATCCTTTGAGGGAAACAAAGAAGGATCTGGGGAAGGATCGTTAAGCTCCGCATGACTGGGTGAAAATTTTCCATGTGAAGAGTGGGGTGGGAGATGGGGGGGGGGGGGGGGTAGATGGGGTTGTTTAAGCCTTCCGAAGAAACAGAAATAGTGATTTCTGGAGCGGAGAATTGTTCGGAAGATATTCAGAGAGAGAGAGAGAGAGGGGGGGGAGAGGGGAGAGGGAGGGGGGGAGAGGGAGAGAGAGAGAGGGAGAGGGAGAGAGAGAAAGAGAGAGAGGGGGGAGTACGGAGGGAGTTTACTGATGGGTCTAAATAGTGATAGTACAGGTTGTCTAAAAAGAAACACCAACTTTTAGGGTAATAACTCGGTTGTCTTTATACTATTTTCAACAAAACTTCAAATGAATTAAAATTCAGCAATGAGAACTTCAAGTTCGTAAATATGAAGACATTTATCAATGTGTTCGAAAAATATCAAGCTTAAACAATTTCAACCAAAATTGGGTAAAACGCAACATTTTACTTCGTGCAAGCGTTTAGCTAACAGTGTGTGATCAGCCCGTTCTGGTTTTAGGACAAGAACGGTTAAACCACAGCAGTCACCTCAGATAGCTATCTAATCGTGCCGAAACAGTCTTGTAGAAGTTTTGGGAGAATGCTTTACGCTGTACCGGCCTGGTTCCAGTGGGATGGGGCCACAACTCACACATCAAGTTCAAGAGTGGTCCTGGTATGGTTGCAAAAATGGTTTCGGAGCAGAAAATGTTCAAATGAATAGTCATCACATCCTCTCTCCCTCCCCCTCCCCCCCGCCACCATAACTTGAGCCTCTTCAATTAGTACCTGTGGGATTGTTTAACAACAACCCACTAGCAATCGAACAGTTAAAACTCAGTGTTGATCAGGGCGTCCAAAGAATCCACCCAGAAACATGCTACATGGTTATTCAAAATTTCCAGTAGGGTATAAGAGCGTGTATGGAAAGCAAATGGTCTACGTCTTGAGATTTAAATAGCAACAAAAGCTTTTTGGGGTTATTTAGCAATATCAATTTTGTATGAATTTGTTCTTAAATGCTCAAATAGTGACTACTGGAAAGAGTGCAATGGTTGATTTTTAAGAAGTTGCACTGTCATGCGTTTCAGTCAGTTTTGGTTAAAATGTTAAAGATTTGATATTTTTCAAGTAGATGAATTGATTCTTTTTCATGTTGACAAATGTAACGCTTCATGGTTGAACTGTATTTCTGTGAAATTTGGGTAAATTCCTCATAAAGATAACTGCGTTATATGTCGTTACCCGATATAGATCTAATCTTATTATAATGGAGCTAAACCGGTCTGTGAAGTCAGGTCACATTTTTACACAGGTGCCAGGGGCTGCTCGTGGGTCTTAAAAGTGGGCGTGCACAAATAGGTTAAAGCAGGTTAAAGATAGTCAAGGGCATAGTGAATGAGACGTTTTCTAAATCCTCATCTAATGGCCATAATCAAATTTTCGTGGATGATTGGTAGAAGATCTTCTTCTTCACATTCTATCATAGAATTTCTATTGCCTTTAAATATATATATATTTTCTGTCAATCGCCTGCCAGACCCGATGAGTGTCCGGTTTTTTAAAGATGGACCGCCAAGTGCCAATATCGAAACCACAGCGGTTGGAGTTTCCTTATTTATCTTGAACACTCTTTATACGCGTTTTGGTCTGGTCTTTGAGGGTATGTAACTGCTGCCTTTTTCTGAGTTGATTGAGAATTGTTTGAGTTACATCCCTTGACAGCTGTATGAAATTGCCGAGTTGTTGTTTTTTGTTGTCGTCAGTGTTGGCACTATAGAGATTTATTTTCCCTTCTGTTTTCCCCGAGCTTTCCTTTCTTGTTTATTTTCCCTGAACTGTCATATCTGTTCTGATGCCCCTGAGCTTTTCTTTCTTGTTTATTTTCCCTGAACTGTCATATCTGTTCTGATGTCCCCGAGCTTTTTTTTCCATTCAGGTTTCCCGGACATTTCCTTTCAGTTCTGCTTTCCCCGAGCTGTCCTCTCCATTCTGCTTTCTTCGTCCCGTCAATTCCTTTCTACGTCCCCGAGCTGTCTTTTTTTAATTTTTATTTCACCAAGCTTTATTTTCCATTCTGCCTACCCTGAGTTTCCCTTTCTCTTTTATTTTCCCCAAGCTGTCATTTCCATTATACTTTCTCCGAGATTTACTTTCCTTTACTACTTCCCACAAGCATTCCATTCCATTCGGCTTTCCTCGAGTTCAACTTTCCATTCTGCTTTCTACGAGCACTACTTTCCCTTCTATTTTCCCTTAGCTTTCCTTTCCATGCTGCTTTCCTCGATCTTTAC